CATTAAAGGTTCTTACAAGATACTGAATATATATCCCTGTGCTATACAGAAGAAATCTGTTTTTTTTAATCTATTTTTATATATAGTGGTTAACATGTACAAATCTGAAACTCCCAAATTTATTCCTTCCCACTCCCTTTCCTCCAGTAACCATAAGCTTGTTTACTATGTTTGTGAGTCTGTTTCTCTTGTAGATGAGTTCATTAGTATCCTCTTTTTTCTATTCTTTCTTTTTTAGATTCCACATATGAGTTATGTGGTATTTTTCTTTCTCTTTCTGGCTTCTTTCACTCAAAATGATGATCTCCACGTCCATCCATGTTGCTACAAATGGCATGATTTTATTCTTTTTTATTGCTGAGTAGTATTCCATTTTAGAAATATACCACAACTTCCTTATTCAGTCATCTGTTGATGGACATTTAGGTTGCTTCCATGTCTTGGCTATTGTATATAGTGCTGCTATGAACACTGGGGTGTGCGTATCTTTTTCAATTAGAGTTTTCTCCAGATATATGCCCATGAGTGGGATTGCTGAATCATAGGGTAAGTCTATTTTTAGGCTTTTGAGGAGTCTCCATACTGTTTTCCATAATGGCTACATCAAACTACATGCCCACTGGCAGTGTAGGAGGTTCCCTTTTCTGCACACCCTCTCCAGCATTTATCATTTGTGGACTTTTGAATGACGTCCATTCTGACTGGTGTGAAGTGATGACCTCACTGTAGTTTTGATTTGCATGTCTCTGATAATTAGCAACACTGAGCACTTTTTAATGTGCCTATTGACCATTTGTATGTCTTCATTGGAGAATTGCTTGTTTAGGTCTTCTGCCCATTTTTGGAATGGGTTGTTTTTTTCTTATTAGGTTATATGAGCTGTTTATATATTCTGGAAATTAAGCCCTTATCATTCTCATCTTTTGCAAATATTTTCTCCCATTCTGTGGGTTGTCTTTTTGTTTTATGGTTTCCTTTGCTGTGCAAAAGCTTGTAAAATTAATTAGGTCTCATTTGTTTATTTTTGCTTTTATTTCTATTGCCTGGGTAGACTGCCCTAGAGAACATTGCTAAGATTTAGGTCAGAGAATATTTTGCCTGTATTTTCTTCTAAGATGTTTACAGTGTCTTGTCTTATATTTAAGTCTTTAAGCCATTTTGAGTTTATTTTTGTGTATGGTGTGAGGGAGTGTTCTAACTTCACTGATTTACTTGCTGCTATCCAGTTTTCCCAACACCATTTGCTGAAGAGACTGTCTTTTCTCCACTGTATATTCTTGCCTCCCTTGTTGAAGATTAGTTGATTATAAGGCTTACTGGTATTTTTACCCATTAGGGAATTGTTTGCAAGAGGGAAGGTCCTCACACCAGTAGTATATTGAGAGCTGACAGAATAAAAGTATGGGAGCAGGAAAAAATAATAAAATATACATTGTAAAAACAGAAATAAAAACTAGTAAGCACAAAAGCCTGGGCCAATTTAGAACAGGTCATAAACAGCCTAACACCTTTTAAGAGAACACTACTAGACTCAGATATAGGAAACTATGGTTACCAAAGGGGAAAAGGAGTGGGGATAAATTAGGAGTTTGGATTTAACAGATATACATTATTATGTATAAAATAGATAAACAACAAGGACTTACTGTACAGTATAAGAAACTATATTCAGTTTCTTGTAATAAGCTATAATAGAAAAGAATCTGAAAATATATGTATATATATGTATGTATACGTATAACTGCATCACTTTGCTGTACACCTGAAACTAACACTGTAAATCAACAACACTTCAATAAATAAAATTAAAAAAAAGAGGACATTACTATATATTATGCACACTATCACGAAGTGATTCTCCCCCATGTACAACATGGATTATTTACTAGTTGTGTGACTTTGGGCAAGTCCTTTGCAATAAAACAAAACCTAATGATAATAGTAGTAGTAGTAGTAGTAGTAGTAGTAGTAGTAGTAAATAATAATAAAAAAAGAGGGGGGTGGAGGAGGGTACAGCTCAGTGGTAGAGCACGTGCTTAGCATGCAAAAGGTCCTGGGTTCAATTCCCAGTACCTCCAATAAGAATAAATAAATAAATTAACCTAATTACCACCCCCAAAACAAAAACCTAAATGAATAAATGTCACTGTTCAAGAAATAAAAATAAATAAATAAAAGGGGGAGGCAAGTCAACCAATCTAAGTAATAAGAGAAAATTTCAACAAAAAAGGGTGGGGCATGAGGTTGGCAAAAGATTTTTAAGTCAGAAATTTAAAGTCAGTAAAAGCCTTGAAAAAGTTGGCTTCACTGTTAATGCTTTAGAAACTACTGTTTCTTCAAAAGAAAGCTATGATATCCAGTAATACATAAGATCTTTATTTCTCACATTTAATGCTCTGCCAAGTTGTCTGAAGCACAGCATTATCAAAAATATGACAGATTTGATTTGATAAACTTGCTGGATTTATAAGCCCAAAGGACAAGAAATTTTACAAGAATGCAATTTTCAATTTTATATATGTGATTCAGTGACGAAAATGGCCTTTTATTCTTGAAACATCAAGTCTGTGACATAATCCTTGCTGAAAAGTTTCAGTGTGTTTTAATAGGAATGCCCAGGAACAGAACAAGTCTAAATACAGAATTTTTTTAAGGTCTATCAAAGATTCATGGCCATCCCAAACATGCAGAATACACTCACCCTATCCCAAAATCCCCAAAAGTTTCAATCATTCCAGCATCAACTCAAGTCCAAAATCTCATCATCTCAAGTTATCTAAACCACGTATAGGTGAGACTCTGGGTATGATACATCATGGGGCAAAATCTCTTTCCACCTGTGAAACTAGAAAACAAGTTATCACTTCTAAAATACAATGGTGGGCCAGGCACAGGATAAAAGTTATATATTTTTGCCATTTCAAAAGAGAGAAATGAGGGGCAGGGTATCGCTCAAGTGGTAGAGAACATGTTTAGCATGCACAGGTCCTGGGTTCAATCCCCAGTACCTCCATTAAAACAAATAATTAAATAAACCTAATTACCTCCCTGCCGAAAACAAACAAACAAACAAACGGGAGAAAATGGTAGGAAGAAGTGAGTCACCAATACTAAACAATTTCAAAATTTGACAAGTCAAATTCTATTAGACCTGGGAATAGTGTGGTCAGTGACTCCACCGTCTGAGCCCAAAGCTCCACCCTCAAAGTCATTCTTCGTTTTTCTTGAAGGGTAGCACATGTTTGCAGCTGAACAGTGTTATTAGCCAGTTTCCTGCCAATAGAGTTTTGGCAGTCCATCAGCCTTCCTTCATTCTATCAGTTCAAACTGGCAGTATTTCTGCTGATATAACATCTTCAAAAACCTTGGGGGTCACCTGTGTATGCCATAAGGGTTCATGACAATAGACAAGATGGTCCTCCACAGATGTTCCCTGATCTCTAGTCAAGCCCTGTTCCTGGCTTTGCTGAGATTACTGAGGAGATCAGTGAGTCACATGCCTATCTCTTCAGCAAAAACAAGATTATTTAGCCACACTGTTGGCTTTCTCCCAACAGCACACTTTCCTGACAATATATCTTCTAATTTTAGTGTGTTCTGAATAGGATGGGAATCTCTCAAATCACCAACTCCCAAATTTTTTTTTGCTTAACAGTTCTTCCCTCAATTTATCTCTTTTCTCTCACATTTTACTATAGGCAGCAAGAAAGGCCACCGTTGTCAATTCTTTGGAAAACTCCTTAGCTAAATATCAAAATTCATTACTTGTAAGTTGTTCTTTCCACATGAATGCAGGACACAATTCAGTGAGGCTTCCTGGCACTGTAAATCAAAGATCTTTGCTCCAGTTGCCAATAACATGTTCTTGATTTCCTTCTGAACCCCCGCAGAGATACCTTTTACTGCTACTGTTGTTGCTGCTACTATTAGTACTAGAAGGCATTCCTATTTCTACCGGCATTCTGTTTATGACAATGTATGTAATCTCTAAGATAATATAGATTTCTCTCCCATGCTCCTAACTTTGTTCTGAGCCCTCACCAGCAGTGCCTTTAATATCCATATTTCTACCAACAGTCTGTTCAAGGCAATCTAAGCTGATTTCCTATCATGTGCCTCAAAATTCTTCCAGTTTCTACCTATTGCACATTTCTAAAGTCATTTCTATAGTTTCAAGTTATTTATTACAGTAGTACCTCACTTCCTGGTACGAAATCTGTATTAGTTTCCTGTGGATGGTGTAATAAATTACTACAAATTTGGAGGCTTAAACAACAGAAGCTTACTCTCTCACAGTCTAGACACAAAACCTAAAATCAGTATCAATGAGCTGAAATCAGGGTGTTAACAGGTCACATTCCCTCAGAAGCTCTAAAGGACAATCTGTTCCTTGCCTCTTCCAATTTCTGATGGCATTCTTTGGCTGTGGCCACATCACTCAGTCTCTGTAGTCATAGGGTCTTTTGGGGGGCAACAGTTCAGCCTGCCACAGATATATACTCTTCATACTCTTTGCCTTCACCCACTTTTGGTTCATTCGATTTGACTAATTTTATAATGTAATCAGCTTAATTATCCATGTTCATAAAGGAATATTAGAATATTTGTGGGACTAGAAACACAGCAACAGAAATTTAAATAGGTAAATTCTACATGAAGTAAAAGTAGAAAATGTAGCTATTTCCCTTAATGTTTGGGAAAATAAGTACTTTTCATGTCCACAGTAAAAACAAAAGCTGGTAAATAAAATACAACTCTGACCATAAAAGTGAAGGTTTTTATGGAGAAGGTCCACTCAGGAACAGATCATGCTAAAGTTCATGATCACAGGGTTAACTGGACTGACAGGAAGACAATCATCTCCACAACTAAATGTTAAATATGTGGTTTTAAAGCTACTGTATAACAAATTCTCTTCTCCTTCTCAAACCTTTATATTTTATAATCTGGTTTATACTCAATTGGAAAAGAGTTAAAAATAGATTTATGTCTATTCTTACCTCTACGCAGTCAAAGTTCTCATCAACTTTAGATGCATATTCAACACGGAACATTGTTGACAGGCTACCAGCAATGTAATATAAAAGGATCTTCAGACCTTTGTAACCAAAAGCAGTTTCACTAAAAGGGAAAAAACAGCAGTAATCTAAGACCTGAAAATGAATCTTTGCAAAGTCATTACAAAGTATTAACCCTACATGTAAGCAAGCTTAACCTCATGGGTAGTTTCAAAATTTTAAACTATAGTTATCAAAAACAAACAAGAAATATATTTGTAATGAAACTGTGCCTCAGCTTCCCTCATTTATAAAGTAAGAGAATAACAGCCCCTACATCAGGGATGCTGTTTGGGTTAAATGAACAAGTTAATACATGTAAACTGCTTATACTATTGACTGGCACATTGTACAAGTACTCAATAAATGTTGGCCACTACTCTACTGCTCCTGTTGCTGCTGCTACTATTACTACCACTAGGAGGCATTTCAAATCAGACAAGTACTGTTAAATTGATTCCTGGCTTAGTCCTGTCCTTCCAACTTGCCATGTGCATCCATCACCAACATCCAGAGCTGAAAGTGGTGACAGCACCTGTCTGATTACACCCCAGTTATGAACTCAGAAAGCATATTTGAAGCTGCTGTTTTTCCAGCTTGCTCCCTGCTATCCATCTACACCTTACCATTCCCCCTTTCAGCTTAAAAAGAGTCTTCTAAAAAGTGAATTCCAAACTATCCAGAATAGGTAAATCTGTAAAGACAGAAAGTAGATTAGTGACTACTTAGGACTAGGGAGGGTAAGGGAAAGAGGGAGTGACTTCTAATTGGTTATGATAATTTTGGTGGGAGTGATGATAATGTTCTAAAATTGGTTGTGGTGATGATTGTACAATTTGCAATATACTAAAAACCACAGAATTGTACACTTTAAAAAGCTGAACTGTGTGGTAAATTTTATCTCAACTGAGTTTTTTTTAAAGAAGAGTGTTTGAAAGAAGTAGTGTCACTTATAGTAGTGTCATTTCCATACCTGTCTAGGCTAGCAACACAAAATATGAGCAGTGTCCATTCCAGGACTCTGAAAAAGTTACGTGTAGTAGAAAGAAGCAGCAATGATATCAGGATCAAGATCAGTATCATGTTTGGATCCTAAGATACAGGGTTATCATGATTATGTGACTATCATCTGTCTACCTTAGAGGAGGGGTATGCAAGCACACCACTTTTAATGACATGCAAAACAGAGAAGTGAATGTGCAAAATGCCATTAAGAAGCAGTATCTGTGAAACTAGATCCAACCAAGGTATTACCATAGGAAGAGATTTTAAATAGCAGTAAGAGGAAGAGAATAAAACAGTTCCTTAAAGATAGAGACCAAAGAGAAAACATTCTCATTTTTATGACGTAATAAAACTTGTTAAAATACGAATGATTCAAATTTTAGTTTGAATCAATGTATAATCAATAATAGTTATTATTTAAAAGCACATAAAATGCCGAATCTGAAATAATGAGAAATTCTCAAGAAATCTGTTCCATGAAGAGACATTTGTCAATTAAAAAACACATTAAATAAATGTCAAAAATGTTGAAATAATGCATAAGGAAAACAGCCATGAAGGGGAATATTTTAAATGTCAACTGTCTAACACCCTTCCCTACTTAAAAAAAAAAACAGAGTTCCTTGAGAAAATGGCTGACTCCAGAACTAGTAAAGAAAGTACAAGGTGAATGTGGAACATCTTATTATATTAGAAAGTAATGTGTCCTCAAAATGATGACTATATATCAAAAGGACTCAAAAGCCAGTTTGAAAGAGTAGCCACTTGTTGAATCTGGGATAATTTGAGCATCAAAATTAATAACAGTAATAAATTATAACCCATTAAGTAAAAAAAAGGATCCTTGAATCTATTCTGATACAAACAAAAAAAAATACATAAAGGGAAGAAGAGAAGTTTTTCTTTATAGTAGAATGCCAACTAATAACTGCTGAAGGTGTGACAGAGCTAGAAAATTGCCATTTTACAATCAAAGTAAAATACTGATTCAGGAGAGAATAAACAAATTTAAAACTATTGGGTGACAGTTTGACAGGGAGCACGATATTTTCAGTCTCAAAGTAACTCCCCTCAGATTACACATAAATAACAAAGAGAAAACCCATTAACCTTGTAGGGAGAAACCTGGCAGATACCTCTAAACTTAGTGAGCCAAGTTAACTTAACCAACAATGGGACAAACTGTCATCACACACTTGATAATATGATATACTGAGAAGGAAGGACACATACAACTTCAATTATGGTTCTACAAAAATACGCATGATCTGAACTTAATCATGAAGAAAGAAACAAATTAATACAAAATGAACGTTTACAAAACTAGCCTATTCTCTACAAAAATGTCAATACCATGGAAAACAAAGTCTGGGGAACTCTTTCAAACTAGAGATGACAACTAAATACAGTATGTGATTCTAGACTGGATCCAGGATGGGGGAAAACTGTTACAGAAGAATTACTTGGAATCAATTGGCAAAGTTTGACATATGGATTGTATATTAGAAAACAGTACTGTATCAATGTTAAATTTCCTGAGTTTTGATAATTCTACTATAGTTATTGTCCTTGTTTTTAGGAAATACATACTAAAGAATTTAGGAGTAAAAGATCAAGCTATATCTGCAACCTACTCTTAAATGGTTCAACAACAATATGTATATAAGAAACAATGATTATCAATATATGTATATAAGAAAAATGATTAAAGCAAATATAACTAAATGTTAACAATTGATGAATGTAGATAAAGGATATACAGAATACTATTTTTGCAAATTACTGCAAATTTTAAATTTTCTCCCAAATGAAAAGTAAAAAGAAAAAAGGTAACTGACTATTCTAATAATGTAAAGAAGGTTAGAAATTAAAGAACTGTGCTAAATATCCCAGGATATCTTTAAAGCTGTTTTCCGAAAATAAATTTCCCTTAATTGCTTACTTACTTGTCACAGGATAAAACCCACGCTTCCCAGCTTTAGGGGAGTGTATTCTAGAAGCAGTATAGCAAAACGGTAGGAAAAAAGTAGTAATGAACATGGGCTCTGCAGTCAGAACGACTGACCGTGAACTTCAGCCATTCATACGTCCTTAGGGAACTATCCAGTTCCACCAATGTTAATGTTACAAATGGTAATACTATTCCTAAAAGCATGAGAATTAGATGAGATCATGTATCCACAGCACTAAATGCTGGGTATTATATAGTAAATTGGTGTCTCAATGTCAAAAATGCGATTCTAATATATATTTTTAAATAAATTATATGAAAAATAACAGTAAAGAAAATAAATTCTGATTTATAAATTAAAAAAATTATTTTGGTTATACTAATTTGACAAACATCTAAGTTACTTACTCATCCCCAAAGAGCTGATGGGTATATTCAGGAAAGAAAGTTCTAATGTCATTCTCAAGATCTTCAGGAAAACGAACTGTTTAAAGGAATAAAAAATATGGAGATATTAAAGATATTAAAGGTGATAGGTATTTCTGCTTCAAGAATTTCACTTACTTAACCTTTTCCTTACTTAAAATGTCACCTTTCCCTTATATTATTTATACTGGATTCTCATGAGACAAATGAGCACTGAAAATTAGAATATCACTTTGAGCGTTTTAATGTTGAAATCCTACTGATTCTAAGAATTAGAAAACTAGGTACGATAGAGGCATCTGATTTAGTTTTTATTTTTTGTTATGCTTATACATAATGCAAAGAGTAAATGAAAACAAAACCAAAAAAGATACTTTGAGAAAAGAAAGCTACAGCACATCAAGGAAACAAAAAGTGCTATAGAAACATTCTGAGAACAAGAATAATCTGAGTTTGATGAGACTCATATCATTACATCACTCTTTATGACTGCAAGATAACGTTTATGTTGTTCTCAATGTTTTGGTTTTGTTTTCTGGGCTTTTTTTGTTATTAAAAGTAACACTGCAATGACATCCTTATACACACCTTGCTATACTTTTACAAGTATATATAGAGTAAATTTCTAGCAGCAAAATGCTGAAAAAAGTACTGAAATATATTTGCAAATATTTGCTTAAGTGCCCTCTAAAATATTTTAACAGTTTGTATACGCATCATCTGCTACTTAAACTCCTTTGTTTCCCACATCCCTGAGAATATTCTGTACGCTCAACTTTAATTTCTACCAATCTAAGATGGAAATGGGCATTCTGTTAATTTTATTTGCATTTATTATAAGTACTGATATTATTGGCCTCCTCTCCAAAATAATTTATCTTATAAAGAAAAATTTTACCAAAAAAAAATTCTTAAGCAATTGAAGAATGAAAAGATAATTGTAGATGGAAAATTCTAACACTGCCCTCATAGAGCACATCATTCACAGGGTGCCAAAGCATCATCTAGTAGATTATCGATTTTTAGAAGGAGAGATAATCTTTTCACTGTAGAGATCAAGCAGTCACTATCTTTCCAAGTGATCTAACTTATGAACACTCATTGTGGGACAGACCAAAATTATGTGCCTCTTGATTCCATGCCAATACAACCCATACAGCATAGCCTATGAAGTTTTCTTACCAAAAAAGTTTTATCCTAGCTCTAATCCAGCTTTGTATCTTCCAATTTACATGAAATATAGAGGGTAGGGGAAAAGTTAAATTCTACCAAAAGGAAATAAGACTAATCCAGAATGCAGAATTGTTTAATAATTCTACACAATGACTTTACTCTTCCAAATAAGTCAGCAGCATAGGGGGGAAAGTTCCATGGGTGAGAGGGACTGTTCTGGATTAAAAGACATTAAAGAAGCAACCAAACACAATGCATGACCCTTGACTGGATTCTGGTTTAAATCATTTTCATTAAAGCCACTGAAGACTTTCCAGGACAACCAGGGAAACCAGAAAATTACATGACACCAAAGAACTACCATTAATTTTCTCAGGTATCATAATGGCATTATTGTTATATATGTGAATATTCATATATGAGTGTTATGAACTGTCATGATGTTCAGAAACCTAGTTTCAAATAATGCAGCAAAAATATACACACATTAAGTCATATATGGAAAAATGTTGTGTTAAATCTAGGTGTAGGATATACAGGTGAGTATTA